AACCGAAATGCGATGCCACATCACCAATTAGTGCTGTCACCATACCGATACCACATATCGAAACAACAAAGCATAGATAACCGTTGGCAATATCTAGATATTTATGGCGTTAAAATTGTGAAACAAAAGAAGAAATCCAATTAAGGCACAATTAAATACTAACACACATACAGTGTAATTCGAAAAACGATTGCGGATTGTTTTTGTGACTTACCTGTCGGGGGTATGAATGCAAAAATAAGTTTCCAGAAGATTGTTAGGAAATGCAAAATGTAATCGAAGCAAGAGGGCGACTGTGGCTCATCATCCTCACCACCTTCGCCATTGCCATCATCATCATCGCCTGAAAATAGAGAAATGAATTATTGAAGAGTCGGCGATTTGCATTAATCGAGTTCCATGTTGAACTTATAGGTGACCTTAAGACGGTCTTACATAATTTATATATGCTGAGTTTTATCTTTTTATTTTTTTACCTCGACACTATAAGAACTCATTACGTTGATCAGGATAGATCGACGTTCAATTAATACACTTATGCCTTTTTGATAACCAACGGGATGGCAACGAAATTGTCAGAGTTTCCGAGAAATGATTCTAGAGTTTCGTAGAGGTTTCTTTGAAGGGCAGTTCATAACGTAGGACATGCTTAAGCTATTGGTCATAAATGCAGTGGGCTTGTTAGTATTTCTACCGCCCCATGTATGCCCGCATTTGAAAACTCAAAGGGTTTGACGTTAAGTTTAGATCGAAGAGAACCCGAAGCCAGTACTGTTTACATTACACCGGTTAAGGACCTAATTATAAGGATACCTATACCATTTCCTACCAGATAAGAACGGGACTAAGGGCTACCAAAGCCAGATAATGGTTGGTCTAAAGATGTAGAAAGGTACCGACGCCGGTATCTACTGCGATAACCGATAAGCGGCTTCTATTTGGTTAAATTCAGCTCAAGTATTCTAATTTTTTCAAACCTACCTGTAATGTTGAATTATCTGGAACATATGGGGCGAAATCCGTTGTGTCAATTCCTGTGCTGACTGCTTCGACAGAAATCTGTTTAAATTCAATTACGAAGTTAATCCGTTTTTGGGTTATTCTAGAAGGGGTGTGAAAAAAATCGTTCAGGAAAAACAGGACCAGACCGAAGGCAGCAATTGGTGAGGATTTTATATCAAAATCTAATGTAGAAAATGTTTAAGAGGTTAAGAAGCCTTAAAAGAGACAATCGGCCCCCAGTGGTCTGGGAGCGCCAAAACAGAACATTCGCGAGATGGTTAGAAAATGGAAATTGACTATATTTTTGATGAGGGGTATAATCAAGTAAAATTCTTCAAGAGCGTTTGTTTCGAAAATACTGATTTTAATTTGTTTTATAACTATGGAAAGAGCCGTGCAATAAACAACCTAACTACCCAATTCGTAAGCAAGAGGGAGATACCTTATAGATTTGTTATCCTGTTCTGCTGAATTGATCTAGATGTGGTTTTTGTAAAAAAATTTTAAAATCAGTTTTAAATTTTAGATCTTATGTTTTTTAAGGTCAACAATAGTTTCTCACTAGTTTCTAAAATATCGCCCTTTTCCATGGTCAAAAGATTGGAACTACTTTGCGCCTACGTGCGCCACGAAGCTATTGGGGTTACAACGTTCACTAAAACCTAGGTAAACAGTTTGAAATAAGTTTNCTTTAAATGCTAAAAAAAATCATAATAAGTAGTGACTATTTTGCTGTTCGGAGCAGACTCTGCATTACTTATCTAAGACTTAGATTCTAAGTGCATATGTCTTTCTCCTTGAGGATGATATTTTTAGTACACAACTTAATTGAAATTAACATGCTTGCATAACAAAAATAAACATTTCTAATTCCCTGGCCTAAATTTTCTGTTATTTACTTTTACAATAAACACGTCTTACCTGGAGTCACTGTTAACGCATCCGCAAATTGTTCCTTCCATGACGAAGTACCAATCAGAAGTGAGGCATTCGCCCTTTGCACCAATTTATCCACAGTGTTCTGCGAAAGAGGAAAAAATTTAATTAAAACGATACAGCGGAGGTTTTTTGTTGAGCTCAATTAATTTTATTCACCTTAAATTCCTTACTCTCCTTGATGCGCAACTCAGCACGCACCA